CCTGCAGCCTCCTTCCTCTCCCGAAGACTGTCCCCCGGGTGGGAGCGGTGGGGCAGTGATTTGAGGGCACTGCGCCTTGGCGTTTCCCCCGCCGCACTCCGCGGGTGGTTGGGGAGAACAGCCGCGGCCCCGGAGGTTTTGGCCTGGCGCGTTTTGCCAGTAACATAAATATGTTCTTATTTAAACGGTGGGGTAAGCAGGTGGGTGGGCACGTGGTCGAGAAGCTGCTTTGGGGTTTGCGTGAGGCTGCAGCAGCAGGCGCTGCTGGATGGGATGGGGTCTGCCTGTACCGGCAGAGATGCCAGAATCGAGGAGGCGTTACCTCCGTGTCTGCTCTGTGCTTGCAGGATCTATGTATACACTCACCGGCGGATGGCCATAACAGCTGAGGATGTCTGGCTGGAGAAAGTTATCCCCATCACAGAAGGGTTTGCAGTGGAAGAAGGTACTAACGCACTTTGGTGGCTTAGTGGCCACTTCCAAAGAAGGGGATGAAGGGGTTTGGAGTCAATATGTTGTTGTTCTACTTGATAAAATTTGGGATCTATTCAGCTTCATATTTTTTCTACAGTTTGTAATCCCCAGTGATGCTTGTGCATCCCATGGCATAGCTGGAAGGGCCCTGCTGGATTATTTGCTCTGCAGTCCAAAGCACCCTGTGTGCAGCCAAGCATCAGCCGTGGCCTCCAGCCCTGGCAGGTTCCTTCTGCCTGTCTCCATTCGTACCAGGAGTATTTGGGGGTTGAGGAACTTACCGAGTTTGCTAACTTCAGAGTGCCAGCGCGGCCTGCGGACCTCTTACTTAGCTCTGTAACTCAACTTTGTTTTGCTTTTCCAGTTGTACTTGACAGTGACCTCCATGTCATCGGTGAGTTCTGTTGCTGTGTTAATGCCCGTGCTATGGGCGTTCCTGGGCCCTGTACAGCTGCACACAGGGAGGTGGGAGTGGGGGTTCTTGTGACCGCACTGTTGACCGGGGGGATCTCATCTCAGTGTTGGGGAACTGGGCGTGCTGTTTACCGCGGTGCGGCTGACGAGTGTTCTCACCCCAGTTCAACCAAAGGAATGGTTTTTCCAAATGCTTTTAAACTGCTACTGGAAGATTAATTATTGTCACTGAATAAGCAGAATAAGAATTATTGTAAACGCTGATTTTCATATTTTTAAATGGCATTCTTGTGTAAAATGTGGAAAAGGAGCATGATGAGGTGTGTTGCTGAAGTCTGCATGCATGCAGCCACCAGCTGCGGTGGAGTGGAGAAAATGCTCAGTTTCTGAAAGCTCCTCTTCTCCCGATGTCTTTAGGCTCCGATGTGACTATCCAGATCAGTTCAGAAGATGATCGACTCACGGTGCGGTTGCCATTTGGTTCCCACACGCGCATGTTCCTTCAGGAGGTCAGCAGGTGCAGCCCAGGTAGGAGCTCTGTCAGGCGCTGGACGTGGCCCGTGGGGGTGGTGGAGGTGTGGGCAGGCTCAGCTGGCGTGTTGCGTTTGCGCGTTGCACTCTGCGTGGAAGAGCAGCATCGGCCTCTGCTGCTGAAACTTGCTTAGAACTGTAATGGTTCACAAGTGTGACAAGTCTCCATCGGTGGACAGCTCAGCAGCGGTGATCAATCTGATCTTGACCGATCTGATGGCCTTCTGTGGTGGCGTGACAGGCTGGGTGGGTGAGGGGAGGGCAGTGGGCGTTGTCTGCCTCCACTTCAGCAGGGCTTTTGGTGCTGTCTCCCATGACACCCTCATGGGCAAGCTCAGGCAGTGTGGGTTAGATGAGTGGACAGTGAGGTGGATGGAGAACTGGCTGAAGGGCAGAGCTCAGAGGGCTGTGGTCAGCACTGGGTCCAGTCTTGTTCAACAAATTCATGAGTGACCTGGATGAGGGGACAGAGTGTACCCTCAGCAAGTTTGCTGGTGACACAACACTGGGAGGGGTGGCTGACACACCGGAAGGCTGTGCCGCCATACAGCGTGACCTGGACAGGCTGGAGAGTTGGGTAGAGAGGAACCTAATGAAGTTCAACAAGGGCAAGTGTAGGGTACTGCATCTGGGGAGGAATAACCCCGTGCACCAGTACAGGTTGGGGGCTGACCTGCTGGAGAGCAGCTCTGCAGAAAGGGACCTGGGAGTCCTGGGGGACAACAGGATGCCCATGACCCAGCAATGTGCCCTGGTGGCCAAGAAGGCCAATGGTCTCCTGGGGTGCATTAAAAAAAGAGCATGGCTAGCAGGATGAGGGAGGTCATCCTCCCCCTCTATTCTGCCCTGGGGAGGTCACATCTGGAGCACTCTGTGCAGTTCTGGGCTCCCCAGTTCAAGACGGGCAGGGAACTGCTGGAGAAGGTCCAGCAGAGTCTACAAAGATGCTCAGGGGACTGGAGCATCTCTCTGGTGAGGAGAGGCTGAGAGCCCTGGGGCTGTTCAGCCTGGAGAGGGGAAGACTGAGAGGGGGTCTCAGCAATGCCGATCAATATCTAAAGGGCGGGCGGCAAGGGGATGGGGCCAGACTCTTCTCAGTGGTGGCCGGCGACAGGACAGGGGGCAATGGGCACAAAGTGGAACATGAGAAATTCCATCTCAACATGGGGAAAAATGTCTTTCCTGTGAGGGTGGCAGAGCCCTGGCACAGGCTGCCCAGAGAGGCTGTGGAGTCTCCTTCTCTGGAGACATCCCAAACCCGCCTGGCCGTGATGCTGTGCTGCGTGCTCGGGGTGCCCCTGCTCTGGCACGGGTGGGCTAGAAGCTCTCCAGAGGTCCCTGCTCCCCCCGTCCCGTCCCGTCCCGTCCCGTCCCCCCCCGCCGGTTTGTGGTCAGCGATCTGTTTTGGCCGCGCAG